AAAAGTTGTTAATCAATGTAAGCCTTTTTGTACGAAAATGATCAAACCTGCTATGATTTCGTTCTGTAAAAATTAAGTAATATTAAGCATACTTCGTATATTAGCCAATATTGATTGTAATAGTTTTTTGTATCGATTTGGAACAATTGTCCATTAACCCAATGAACTGTATAAAATATATTATGTTTATCATTGCTCCTTAAATTTTGTAAAATTGAATTGTAATAGCTTCTTGTTACACATACATGTGTCTGAGTGAATAAAGAAACCTTGAAACTTTGAAAACCATCCAAGCTTTGAAGGCTTCTGTCATCACATCCATGTTTTAATTAATATGAGTTACATCAACACTAGTATATTGGGTTAAACATTTAGGTACACAATTACCATTATTTCACGACCATCTAATGATAAAACAACATTTAAGCTAATAATGTTAACAATATCTAATTGTATGTAACAATTCTATCAATTATGTAAGTGATTAACAGAAGACACAACAACATCTAATAGGATATCATATATTTTAGAATTACTGGTAGCACGGAATAGATTTTTTTGCGTTTTCTGTTCTAAATCTGTCATTTTGGATAAAAAATATTGATTAAAACACTTGTAAATACATTTCTTATTGATATCACAATTTAAACTCTTGAGATTAAAATTTTAGAATATATTACATAACGCATGTAAATTTTAGTACACATATATTAAGTCGTTGCCGAAAACATTTAAGACTTAAATATGATTTCCTACATGAATTGATTTATATCTTTTATAAATCATATTCATCTAGTCATTTTTTATATTTTCTGTCAAGGAAAGTAGGAACAGAATATAGCTGAAAATCACTCAGGTGTAAAATTTGACATGTTGGCCAGGTAGTACAGGTAAATTTCAGAATGTTGGCTGAGTGAGAATGACTAAATGTGGGTGGGAATATTCATATTCTTTATTCACCTTGAGCAATTCATCTCATCGATATATAACAAAGCAATATAATTATATTAATATTAATACAGGTCAGCTTCGTGTGAAAATACACACACAAGTAATTAATGTAATTAATATGTATGCACAATCTAATGATTAATAAATGTACACATATCGTAATTTGTACATCTATAATCAATATAGCACAATGTAATTATTCATGGCCACATCTTTACAAAAAAGACATTGAACAATATTACATGTCATAGTTTCCTAGTTTATTTAATTCTTTAGAATTTCCGGAAGATAACAATAGGATTAATTTATAGACAGGGGGGTTCCTACGATAGTATGTCTTGATATATTTACATCTTAACTCTGAGAAGAAGTGACATTTCAGAATAAAATGAAATTCATCCTCTACATCGGACTTACACAATGGGCAGAATCTTAAGTTACGGGGGATTTTTCGGTGTCTTCCAGCTTCTATTAACAGGTTGTGTAAAGACAGACGAAATTTTACAATTTCCTTTTTATATTTAAGGGGAAAGCATTTACTTAAATGAGGTTGTAAGCAGACATGATCAACAATATGTTTATAAAACAGACACTTCGGTGTAGTGTCGAAAAAAGCTTCACAATCCTGTTTATAGATATCAGTGAGCCTCTGCCTTGCTAAAGAAACTGTTGGGTGTTTAATAATTAGACATACCGAGAGAACCAAGTTCGTGTTTAATAGACATAACCCAGTTTCTACAATGTGGGTTTGCTTCACACTCCCGATACATATCTTGATAACATGCTTTTAAAATACAGTTGTTTGTACTTAATAGCTTACACCAATATTTCAAAATTCGAACTTTTCTAGAAATTAAAAGAGGAAATCTAACAAGTTCGAAATATATCATTGCGTTTGGAGTGGCTCTACTCGCTCCTAAAATATTTTTACAAAAATCAAGATGGAGTTGTTCAATATCCGGTGCTTTGTGAAAGCCCCACACCTCACAGGCTTCACTGTCAACGTACGTATCAAAGAGTGACAAGGTACAAAAATTCAACATAGGCTTACAGGCTCGCTTAAGCGAAAAAAGCGCCTTTCTACCCTGTGAGGCCAACTGTTTCTGTGTTAAGTTAAAATTTCCATTATAATTAAGTTTAACTCCCAAGTAAGAAAAGGAGTTCACAGACTCAAGTGTTACCCCATTATACTGCCATTATTCATTTTCCAGTAGTACTGCTGACTTTCTAAAAACCACAATTTTTGGTTTTTTTTCAACGTTAACCGACATAGACCACTTACTAGTATATGATAATAAATTGTCCAGCATATGCTGTAGACCTTCAACACTTTCCGAGAACAGCACCATATCGTCAGCGTACATGAGTAAAAATAACGCCAACTCTTGCAATTCAAAAGGCTGAACGCCGTTGTTAAGGAAATCCATTTCACAGTCATTTACAAACATACTAAAAAGAATCGGGGAAATAATTTCCCCTTGTAAAACTCCGGTTTGGTTTTCAAAAAAACTCGACTGATTCCTGTCTACCATAACACTTGATTTAATATTAGTGTACAACGATTTAATCACATCTAGAAGTTTACCTCTGACCCCAAGCTTAGAAATCTTATACCATAGCTTGCACCTATCAACCGAGTCGAAGGCCTTCTTTAGGTCAACAAAACAACAATATAGCCTTTTCTTGTTGGATAATGATTTGTTAATTAATGAATATAGCGCAAATATGGCATCTACAGCCCAGTTTTCAAATGAGTGGCTGTGACGGACGCACACCGCCTTGTAAAGAAACAATGTGTCTAAGAAAAAAAATAAGGCCAGCTTTTAGCGTAATTTATGGCAAAGAAGGCATTATTCTGTAAAAGTATGAGTAAATTGTGTTTGACAATCAGTTATAGAAACAAGGGTGAATGGTGGTGTGTGTGTGTGTGTGTGAGGGTGTGTATGTGTGTGTGTGTGTTGTGTGAGAGAGAGGGAGAAAGAGTGTTTGTGCGTGTGTGTAAGGGAGAGAGAGTGTGTGTGTGTGGGTGTGTGTGTGTGGGGGGGGGGGGGGTGAGTGAGAGGGAGAGAGAGAGAGATAATCTGTGCGTGTTGTGAGAGAGAGAGAGAAAGAGAAAGTGTGTGTGTGTGTGTGTGTGTGTGTGTGCGTTGTGAGAGAGGGAGAGAAAGAGAGAGAGAGATGGTGTGTGTGAGAGATAGAGAGGGAGAGAGTGTGTGTGTGTTTGTGTATGTGTGTATGTATATATGTAAGGGTGTGTGTGTGTGTGTGTGTGTGTTGTGTGAGAGAGAGAGGGAGTGTGTGTGTGTGTGCGTGTGCGGGTGTGCGTGCGTGCGTGTGTGAATTAGTTTCGATTCAGGGGCCTTTAGAGTCGAGAGCAGAGAGCTTGCCGCTGTTACCGGTACGTCAGATATCATGAAGTGCAAATTAAGAAATCTTATTACATATGTAGTTTTCTCTCTAAATGTGGAACATGTGCGTTTGTATTTGTGTAGAATGCCAAATATGTGACAAGAAAACCAATGACAATGACGACGTCAGTATATTTAGGGACTTTCAGGTGTACATTAATAAATAATTATGCTAACATCGCAAAAAATCCATCTTATCAAACCCTGAACCCTTGTTCTTACTCTAAAATTTCCCTCAGTTAATATAAATTACAAAGGTCTTATTTTTATAGAGGAAACAAAATATCTATTCGTTAGTGATTTTCTGTAAAAATACGTTAAATGTCACAAGGCAGATAACCTGTATTACAGTGCAAGATGACACCTTCAGTGTGTGTTTCGCATTTTCTATGATTTATGTGTAATTGTTACAAAAGCTCATCCTGGAATTATACAATGATTACAGTCTAGTTACATAACTAGTTCATTGTTTTATTCCAATCACCCGAAAATTAAGATCTAAATTATCTAGTCTGTGTTGATAACTAAACATCTGGAGTCGAGAGCAGAGAGCTTTTTTATATTAAAAGTTATAATTTAATGTCCCACTAATTACAGGATAAGGGATTTCAATTTCAGAGATAAACTAATTGGGACATGGAAATCCACCACAGAAAGTACAAGATTTTGAGGATACAATGCCAGACTTATATATTTGAAAATTAACAAGTATAGTTTTAGGAACTACTTTGAAAACAACATCTCCTGAGCATGTATCTAAACAAGTTATCTGATACATTACAAAATATTTCTTTAAGCCCATTGAAGGAAAATCTTTACAAAACGTCGAACTTTCATTATATTAGATGAATGGGTAGAATAAGGTCCCTCAGCCGTAAAAGACTCAGGAAAATCCTGTCTGAACTTCTGGGAAATCTTATAAGTATAAATATGATGTGATGGGCGACAGTCACTATGAGGAAAATTATTATCATACCGTAACATGCATAAAACGGCCACATTCACGGAAGCGAATTAGTATAGAGATAGGGAGAACACTCTTTCAGGGAGCTTTGTTCATGTGACAACCTAGGCTGGACAGGAAAATCACAATTTGGCTTTTTTAAACAAAAACATTTTTGTATTCTATACCTACAATAGGACAAATCGTAATCGCGGTGTTTCAAATTCTATTCATTTCAAAATACTCTGAAGAATACCAGTGAAATCAAACTGTGACTAATGTCGGGCATTCCATCTTGTAATATTCATCACAACAGATTGCCAATTACATACAGAACATGGCGTTGTTTGATGTTTAATTACATATAATTAAAATCACAAATTCACAAAATATAATGTTGCTGCAACTTGAAAACACCACATTAATTATGTTTCCAAGGAAACAACAGATGACAGACTTGATATCTTAGTCAGTATTTTATCTGTTACACGTGCGCGAGAGACGATGACCGAACAAGGCATCTCACTGATTATGTTGCACAAGACTTTTTGAAATGTATACCATAGAATGAAAGCAATTACAACTCGTGATATATGTATTTGTGCCAGAACTGATAGTAAATATCTACTTTACCGGAAGTAACGATTATCAATCGTTTTACCGGAAGTAACCATTCGTCATCGTTTTGGATTAAATGCTCATCGTGGAGGACTTAATAAGGGTAGAGGGAAAAAGTCGTGGATGGTGTACCGAGAGCAGGGAACAACTGACCGCCGGGTCCAGCAGTATAGCCCCTCATTCTCCTCACGCCAGTAAGCTGCCATCATACTAAATCCACTTTCACAGATCACCAGTTTGTCACAAGTTCGTAATAAAAGAAAATCAAGAAGTTGTTTCTGAAAGCCGTCACACAAATCACCATTTTTTGTTTGGTCTATGTGCGTTATCCTCCCTGGAACATTTAGAATGAAATTTTTTGAGTATTTACTTCTGAATTGTTTTTGTAATTCGTTGGAATCAGTTGCAAGGAATAAATCATGTCTGGTTTTGTCAATTGTTTCTATGAAGTCCAAAATGACATGGATGTCTTCTGATTTAGTCCGAACATTATCTTTAGGTAACGTAGAACTCCTTCCGATCCGGACATGAGCACAAAACATCTTGTCTGTATGTTTGTTCTTCACTACGGAATTCAATATATCTAGTAAGAAAGGCTTTGGTTGGAAAAATAGGTCAAAAATATAACGATAGATATCGGCAAAATGGAGTCGTGTTATCCAAGGGGCGTAATTCTCCACATGAAAGAACTTCCGGAATTCTCGTGTCATATCCCAGTTGATACGTACAAAGCTGACATGCGCAGTGAAGAAATCTTTGATGGGTTGAGTAGAATTCGCTGTCAGTAAGACATCTATTATCTTCCATCCATTGTTATCTTTCAAATGATAATTACGAGAAGGTTTGCTTCCCAGCAGTGTTTTATTGTATCTCCAGTCATAAGATTTGGGCTCAAAATAATTTTCAAGAGGACAAGGGTTGTCAAAGTTGATCAGAAATTTTCTGTTGGTCAAGATTGCTAACATGTATGTAGATAAAATTCCTGAAAGTCTGTCTGACCATCCGCCACATGATCCTGACCACCGATGGCTACAGTCATAAACCATATAGCCCCTTGTAACTGGATTATCCGCGGAATAGTCGATCGCGGACGAATCACTAGAATTCTGAGAGGTCTGCTCAAGATCATTCTGTACTGATATAGAGGTAGACGAGCCAGTATCCGATGTTTTTGAGTATCGCGTAGGCATGTCGTCCTTCCATTTCATATACACAATAACAAATCCAAAAGCAATCACGGTCACCTGCAGCCATCGTATTTTACGAATCCTCTAAAAGGAAAAATAAGCAATTGTTAAAATGGTTATGTAGCAGGGTGGAATTATCTTTTAAATTACAATTTCTGTTTACTCGCCGAAAACCGTGCCCGCGTGTCATGTTCCATATTGTGGTGTTACGTTCTTGTTATGTTTTGTACTTGTGCTCATCGTGTATGTTTTGTGACGTTAGTATCCTAAGGTGTGTTGTTGTTTGGTCACTTACGTCAAGTTGTGCAAGTATTCTGATTGGCTGGTTTTTAGTGGTCAGTTTGGCGGGATTTTCTTTGTGTTTCGTGTAGATTTTGTCAGTACCCTTTGTGTACTCATAGCTGACGGACGTACCTGACTAATTTAAGTGTTTTGAATCATTATCTTATATATTTTTATTTTATTGTATATATATATATATATATATATATAATATACATTATACATCTATTTGGAAATTCTAAATAGTTTGAGATTTTGAATTTCGGAATTTTCTTGATTTTGAATTATTAGTAAATTTGTATTTTGGAAACTTACAGATTATAGATAATTGCCAGAAGTTGTACGATACAAGCTCGCTGACAAGTTGTTTAGGGCCCTGTGCCATTACACAGGTATGATATGGTATGTTGTATATCAATTAGTAGCTATTTTAATTGATTTGATTATTTTAATTTGACACTATGTACAACGTATTTGACGATGGATAATTTAACAAATAAGATATTTTGTATTGCTAAGGCTACCAGTGTGTGTAGAGTTAAATGTAACGATTTAATGTTATAATTGTCATGTATTAGGTCCTGTAGCGTGATTTTATTTCGTTACAGGGTTTCGACTTTCAACATCAATACGACAATAAACGATTGACAGAGAAATCTAGACGTTATGGTTGTGTTTCCATAAACTACCCCCTCTGACACAGTTACATCTGTCAACATTTCAATATTCATTCTGTTGCAGATGTAGTTCCATTGTCACGATTTGTTATGTTCAGTGTACAGAAATCACAGGTTTCTGGTCATTTTAATTTTCTTCGGTCGCCTCCTAGGCTTCCCGAGTAAGGTTGAAATTGCAGTATGCTGCAGGTGTTTCATTATTTTAGTCTACTGTATCTGATTTTATTTAAGGATTAACAGTAATACGTTATTGAGGCATAACACAAAAAACCGGGGTGTACTCTTTTAATAAACCGCGAATAACGTAAAAAAGTATTACGGTTAATCCTTATAATTTAATTTTAAACGATAAAAAAAATCTTACGTTAAATTTCCAATGTTTATTCCCTTCAAAACGTAGGATATTCTTTTGTTACCTCCCCTTGATCAATATTTGTTTACAATGTGAACTTCCGGTAGAACCGAAAGTAGTTCCTTCTTTATTTTTCAATCGTTCTTTATCAGAAAATGTTAGAAGTCAATACAAGTCGAAAGCAAGACTGCAGTTCAAACTTTGATCAGATGTAACATTGTTAGCCATGTGTACATTACAATCTTCAAATCAGAGAACATAGTTCGTTTGATAAAACATGGTTTCATTAAAACTGTATTGTATTAAATGAAAGGAGGCAAGACATTTTTATGAAGAAATATTCAAATTATACAAGAGAACACAAGAAACAATTATGAACGAAATTGAATTCAAGAAGAATGAGGACAAGCGTTTTCAGTTTCATCAACGACACCAGCTGGAATGATTTTGAGAACCATAAATAAAAAGATTACATGATTTTCTCCCACCATTCACAGTCGTGTCTCCCGTTTTAGCAGGGAAAGATCAACTTGTCACCCCCTAGGGGGAGATAGTTTCGTGCCGATTAGCTCGTGCTAAACCAGAAGTTCAACCGGAACTTCTTCTGGATTTTAAACAAACATCGTCTTCTGGTATCCTGAAGCAAATCCAAACTGAACATAATAGAATTGGTATCAATCATGAACTTCAAAGCAGGAAGTATGGTGAGAGTTGGTGCAAATGGCAGGATTGGGAAAACAGTTGACACTTTTCGCCCCATAGGAACATATTTCATGTTTAAAGTCCAAATGTTTGACACCGATGATATTGTTACGGCTTCAAAACATGAACTTGTAAAAGGGATGTCAGACGAGGAATTCTCGGAAGGTTCAATTCTTGTTCGATTCGTTCCACGACACAGTTACTAGATCTAATGCTCTCCCTCCAGCACCCTGCCCACCCACACAACAAGTCACTTCCCCGCAGACCTCCCTCTCAAGTGATACCTGTACTGAAACTGAAAGCAAGAGATTTGTTCCAATGAAGGACGAAAACATCGTAGATTTTGTATCTGAACACGAAAACAAAAGCACACTAAAAAAACACTCTGTAACATAAATTTGTCGAGAAAGTTTTTAATTTCCGAAGATGAATCACGTCCAATTCACGAAATACCACTACACGATCTGGATCGGTATTTAGCAAAAATTTTCATTTGTGTCCGTTAGAAGGATGGTACCGAATACCAGCCAGGCTATTTGCGTGGAATGCTTTGGTCATTTTAACGTTACCTAAAGAGACACAAATATGGTACAAGCGTTATCAGCGGATTCGGGTTTTCAGGTACGAAGGAGGCACTGCTATCGAAACAGAAAGGGACACGGAAATAAACCTCAAGCAGCAGACCGCATCGAAGACAAGATCATCGACACACTTTACACTAACGGACAATTAGGAAATTCCACACCTGCTACTTTATTGAACACTCTCTGGCTAAACAACACACTGTACTTCGGGATGAGGGGAGGGGGAGAAGAACATCGATCACTCTGTTGGGGGGATATTGAACTGTGCTATGACACTGACATAAGATTAGAATATATAACTTACAATGAAAGGCAGACAAAAACAAGGACAGGGATCGACTTAAACAACATCCGACCTAGCAAACCACGAATGTATGCTACCCCTGAAAACAAGGACAGGTGTCCGGTGGAATGCTACAAAGTATTTAGTGATCGAAGGCCTGCCAATTACTGTAACACAGATCACCCCTTTTATCTCGCGCCCGTCACATGTGTATCAAAACCAACTCCCAATCAGCAATGGTTTTTGAGAGGTCCTGTCGGGAGACATAAATTTAGCCAACTTATGAAAAAAATGGTACATAATGGCAACTTGTCCGGTGTTGAACACAAACGCCTTACCAACACTAGCGTCAGAAAGCACTTGTGCCAAAAACTGATGGAAAATAATGTACGCGATACACAGGCTGTACATATTACAGGTCACAAAAATCCATCATCACTAAATAACTATAGAACACTCAATAACTTTCAAAAACAGAAGATGTCAACCATTCTATCCACATCCATGACGTCACGGACACATAGCCGTTCCGGAGAAAATTCACTTACCTCGCAAACGAATAATAATTCCCAAACACAACAACACAACAGCATATCCATGTGTTCTGATCCAACTGATGTTACACGGTCCATATTCTATGGATCCACAATTAGTGGAGGAAACGTTAACATTCAAATTCACAACCACATGTTTCCCACCACCACCGTGCCACAGGCTCCTGAAATAAATTTGACACGTCGACGGCCTCGCGTTATTTACGACAGCGATAGTGACGAATAATTCTTCGTACCAAACTTCAACTTGTTGTCTCGCTAGTGTGAATATGTCACGCATCTACCTGGCGACGAAAGACTCGAAATTCCCCGCCATGTGCACCGGTCGCGGTCGGCTACACTGATCACGACCTGTAACGTACGCTTTGAAGTGACAGTGAGAATCAAAGTACTGAAAGTACTGAGAGGCTAAACGTATTGAAAAATGTTCACAAATAACCTCTAAGCTTTATTACTTTCCCCATACTCCTACACTTTGGAATGCAAAAACTACTAAAATAAGAGAACCAGAGGCTATTTTTCTTAATTTTAAGCGATTTTATATCTTCTTTAATTCTTATTTCAAATTTGACGACAATAATGTGAACAAATCAAAATAGGTAAAAAAAAAAAAAAAAAACAAAAATACACACAACCAGATATTTATCGCCAACAAGCCAAATGATAAATAGCTCTATGATGAAGATGACAAAATAAAACCTTTGGAATATCCAAGATGCTGCAATTACTATCCTATCAATATGAGGTTTTAGACAAATCGAAAGGACTTTATACCTACTTCTTTATTTTAAATGTATTGCAAAGTAATAGTCCTTACTTATCATGATTATGTGACAGTGTGTTATTTATGCTTTTTAATTTTACCTACGTACTAGGGCATGTTTTGACAATGTCAGAAATGCATATTTTATATCTTCTGACATGGGTCAGGTTGTTAACTTTATATGTATTTTTAATAGGTAACATGTCTATATGTCTGACATGGGTCAGATATTTATAATGTTTTATTTTTAATTATAGAATGCCAGGTAAGTATGTCTTGTGATGTGAATTGTACTCACTATTACCTGTATGAATCCCATATATGGTAAATACATGTACATGCACAAGTTTGACCTATGACAGCCACTGACCTGTCCAGTGAACCGACATTGACGATTTTGATTGGCTAGAGTTCATCATGAGAGGGAAAGTAAGCTTGATTTGAACATCAGTATTCAGTTCTTTGTTGGAGAACAGATTTAGATTCCCAAGGGGAAAGATGCATTTTTGATTAGAAAGAAACGAAGATACATTATAATTGGTAAGTTATATGTTTATTAATATTTCAGAATATTGTAGCTAATTTATTGTTTAATATATTACAATAAATTAGTCCTGTAGAATAAATGTATTTTTTGAATATATAGTATAATACTTGTATCATTTTTTTCTTTGGAAGTTTGGCTATCCCAAGTTTATATGCAGTGCTACAAAGTTGCCTGATCATATTTTTAATTCTCAATTTGTGTTGTCTATTGTCATGTTAAACGGTATATGACAAGTATCAAGTAGTTGTATTAATTTTATAGATAATTGGAGAGTGATAGCGGGAGACAGCATAGTTTCAAGTGTGTATATTAGAGAACCTCTATAAACCTCTACACCATATGTAGGGTGAGTTTACTATATAAAATTATTACGTTGAAATTTATATTCGATGTTAATGAATATGAAATATGGATAGTATATGTATGTTTCAGGAAAGTAAGACAATTTAGTCATAGAAGTATTTAATCATATAACAGTACTGTATAAGTAATGTTAATTTAAATAATCTAATTATATTGTAAAGTTGGTAAACAATTTTTTTTTTGCCATAATTTAGATAATAGAGGAAAAAACAGGTAATTATACAGTGCGAGAGTTATGTCCCCTGATGTTGTGTGTGCAATACTAAGTGTTTGTCTTTGTTTCTTTTCTAGTTTTTTTTATGCATTGAATAAATGTTATTAAGAATAAAACAAGCTTTGGCGTGGTGTTTTCACCCTGTTACAATTATATTTGTAGTTGAGGAAAGTAGATAAGGTGTACACAGCATTTCAGATAGATAAAAGTGTAAATAATTACATTAAATGTATTTACATGCCTATCTTCCTTGAAGCATCATGGTTAGATTTTTATTCCAGTAATTATATCTATAAAGGCATAGTTCTTTGATATTAAACCAGACTTCCATATATATACAAAATTT